TCACCGAACGGTACACAGCGACAGTCGAGAGAACAGATTGACTGCACCGAGAGCCCACCACCTGCTTGGTCTGTTTCGACAAACAAACCTGGTCGAATTTCGCGCACTGCCTCTTCCGCGGACGTAGGGGCGAACGCACAAACACTGACGATTGAGACGATAGAACCCACAACGACCACACAGAGAAGACGCCATCTTTTCTGCTCAAGACACGTGTCCCCCTGGTGCGTATTTGAATAAACACTAATAACAAATTATTTACAAACAGTGTAATATTATTTATTTTTTATTTATAAATACCTAAAATTACAAATAATAAATAATAAAGAATTGTTATTCATATTTTGTTTTGTTTTAAACTTGAACCAACAGTTACAACTCGAACTATTTGCAAGTGCGCCGGAAGACAGCGTGTTTCGCTTCGGACATATTTCGGATCACTGAACCCTGTGTTTCGGATCCTAAGCATCCTAAGTTTGCGGCGTGCTAAGAAAAGTTGTCTTCAGAGCTCAAAGGCTCAGACTCTTCCACCGTACTCTCGGCGTGGCGACCGACCGAGCAACGGAAACCTAGCGGCGCTCATTCCCTCGAGTTCTTGACGTTCAAAACAAGCTGCTCTTTCCCATCAAGGGTGCCTCCGTTTGAAAGGTTCGTGCTGGTCTTATCGTTGTTGCACCGCGTGTTTCGCCATGCCAAAGGCGAAGTCGAAGTCTTGGGCAGGTCGCGCGGGTGCTAGACTATCAAGGAGCTCCTTTCCTTTACTTGAAGGTTTTGACGAGGGTCCGATTCCGTTGACAGCGCCATTGGTTAGGGCAGTCCTTGAGAACGAGACTACGCGTGAGCACGCCGGCGCCAGTTCCGAAACTATGGAGGCGGGGGCACGGACATCTTTACCGTCTCAAGAAGATAGTGAAAGGGAGTTTAGTTCAGACTCTTTGCACTCTGTCTCTTGCTTTGACTCTAAAGGGGACAGCGATGATGTTAATATTCGATCCGATTTGAGGCGATGGATGTTGGAAGAGAACGTAACGCAAAAGGCCGGAACCTCTCTGCTAAAGCTACTCAAAAAGCACAAGTGCTTTAATGATTTGCCACAAGACTCTAGGAGCTTGCTCAAAACTCCAAGAGCAACTGCAGTTGAAGCTGATATTAACGTAGTCACCCCAGGAAAATACTGTCACTTTGGGCTGCTGGATGGGTTACGGCAAACACTGCAAGGCTTTGAGGAGCTTCCATCTGTAGTCAATCTTTATTTTAATATAGATGGACTTCCTGTATCAAAAAGTTCAAAGACTCAGCTGTGGCCGATACAGTGCAAGTTAGCCAAGTGTGAGCTTCCACCTTTTATTGTTGGTATTTATGAGGGAAAAACGAAGCCTAAATGCTCTAATGAATTTTTATCACGGTTCGTCAGTGAGCTGAAGACTGTTTTGGCAGACGGCGTAGAAGTAGGTGCAAAGGTTGTGAAAATCTCTGTCAAAGGCTTTGTTTGTGACTCCCCAGCGAGAGCATTCGTGTTCATGACCAAAGGGCACAGTGGGTACAACTCTTGCCCGAAATGCACTGTGGAAGGGAGTCATCTGGGAAGAGTTTGCTTCCCCGAAACAGCAGCCACGTTGCGTACTGATCAGTCTTTTCGTGGACAGGAAGATCCTGACCACCACCATGGAGTGTCAGTGTTAACCGAGCTTCCCATAGACTGCGTGCAACATGTACCGCTAGATTACATGCATTTGGTTTGCCTGGGGGTAATGAAGAAGTTGCTGCAGCAGTGGGTGAGAGGTCGATCAAAAGTGGCACTGGGGCCTGCAGGGCGCAGTGCTTTGTCTGAACGGAGTGAATCTTTCGAGCATTTTATGCCGCGGGAGTTTGTCAGAAAACCCAGGGGGCTTGACGAGCTTGACCGTTGGAAGGCGGTGGAATTCAGAACATTCCTGTTATACACAGGACCAGTTGCACTAAAGTCAATTGCTGCTGAAGAAGTGTACTGCCACTTTATTGCATTTCACTGTGCAATATCACTGCTTGTGCATAAAAGGCTATACTATTTGCAAAATGGATATGCTAAATCTCTTCTGGAGTCTGTGGTCCAAGAGTTTTCCAGGTTGTATGGTGCAGAGCAGGTATCGCACAATGTCCACTGTCTTTTGCATCTTGCTGACGATGCTCTGTGCCATGGACCGTTGGATTCGTTTAGTGCATTCCTTTTTGAAAACAACATGAAACAAATTAAGAAAATGCTTCGCAAACATGAGGACCCCCTGCTCCAGCTGTGGAATCGGAAAGAAGAAAACAAACAACAGACAAGCAACTCTCCTGTGAGGGTGCTTCCACCATATCAATTTGGCAAATCCCACAGCTCCGGTCCAATGTTGCAACAGTGCTGCCCACCACAACATTACATGGTAAAAATGCCCATGTTCACTTTGGCTGTCAACAAGGCTGATGGATGTTGCTTTGTAGGAGATGATGTCGTTCAGATTCTGAACATAGCATTCCTCGAGTCTGGGGAGCCGTGCATTATTGGGCAGAAGTACAAGTTCAAGGAAAACCTTTATGAACTACCGGTTGAATCTTCGCGCTTTGGCATTTGCATTGTCTCTGACATCTCAACGTTGCTGCAAGCTTGGCCCCTGAAGGATGCTAGGAAAGCTGTGAGGCTTCCCTATTGTGGAAGATTTGCAGTATTTCCAATAATTCATGCGATCTAGCTATTGCAACCCAAATGGTCTGGAACAGTGAGAATACATACTGACTTGTAAGCTTCCAATGGTGTTACTTGGTGAAGTCTAAAATTGTAGTCGTTGTCTATTCTAGATGGCTTTTGCAATTGTGGAATTCATCAATAAGCGGCTAGTTGAAGTCGTTCCTTCATCATGGATCAATGGAAGCATGTGTTTCTGGCCCCCTGGAAAGCCTGAAAGAATTAACAAGTTAGTGAGAGCTTCAGCGAAAACTCAAGAAGATTGGAAGCAGCATGCTGTGGAGATCAAAGAAGTCTTCTGTAAGTTGCAAGTTCAGTTGTTGCTTAGAATTAGAATGTGCCTCATTTGCATGCTACTTACTCACAAGCGGTGAATTTGGGCCATTGTGCACAATACAAAGATGGAGATACTGGTGTGGCAATCAAGATGCTATACACCGTTTTGGTTTTTGTATGATATAAAATGTCACTAAAATGAACATTGTTTTTATTTTCAGCTTCATATGAGCGAGCCAGAAAAAAACTGGAAAAGTCACAGTTTACGTCGGATCTCGCCTCAACTGATGAGGAAGTGCAGAGACGCCTAGTGCAAAGGCCCAGACGGTTCATATCTGATTCGGACTCCGACGGCTCACCACCTAAAAAAAAAGCAAAAAAAGCAAGCAACCGTGCATTGACAGTGCACCAACTTTATCCAGCACTACCAGAGGATTTTCCCTCTCCACTTGCGCCGGGTAAGTGTTAACCAACTTAATTCAAGTGTAAGGGACTGCTGAAGGGAGGTAAAATTGAAGTGTGGGAATGAGCAGGTCAAACAAATAATTATACTAGCACATGTAAGACATTTTTTAATCCATATCTGCATTTCACCAAATTTCAGCCACTGCAGCTTCGGGGCATGAGACCGGCCTTGGCACCTCAGCTCATAGCCCAGGTATCTTGTTCTCTAATTAAGAAGCGTAACTGAGTTTATAAATACAGTTTTGAACCTTTGTTATTTCAGGTGGTGTTTTGACCTTAGAAGCACAAGGCCCATCCACCTCAGGTTCAACAGGTTAGTTTATAATTCGAGCATTAGCTAGGAGCTAATTGTGCAGATATTAATTATAACTCATGAGCTATTGTTTCAGACATTATTGTTATATGGTTGTCGCTTCTAATTACCAATAGGGCCTAAAAGTAAAAATTTTCCATTAGGATTCATGTTTTAATTTTAGGGCACATCTCTGAGGCACCCGTTTCTGGGTTGAGAGGCGTCGCTGTCGGCTTAACCGCGCATTGCATTATAGGATGTTTCCCATAGTGACGTCACACGCGATACCACTTGACCGGGAAAATTTTTCTGCTAAGGGGGAAATTTTTCTGCTAAATTTAGCGGAAAAATTATTTTCACTAAATTTAGCGGAAAAATTTCACGCCAAATTTAGCGGGAAAATTTTACCCTCGTGACATTGCACGTGACGTCATGTCTGACATCACGTGAATGAATGTGAAGTCACTGGAAATTTAGCGGAAGATCTTTTCCGCTAAATTTAGTGGAAAAATTTCCCCGCTAAATTTCGCAAGGATATTGACGTCCCGTGACCTCAACACCAATTCAGTTTCCCCACTAAATTTAGCGGGGAAGTTATCGCTAACTCTCCGGCTAAATTTAGCAGGAATATTTCCCCGCTAAATGGGACGTACGGGAGCAGGACAGGAGGAGGGGCATACCCTCCCCTCCTCCTCCTCAAGAGCTGTGCTCTAAGGCATCAGTTCAGGTTACAAATAGTATAAATGACTTCAGGTGGCTATTCTCGGGCTGCCTTTACTAACACTTCTAAATAAAGTAGTCACTTTTAAAGAGAAGCTGCTATGTAGGGATGACATGAAAGTTTTTATAGGTGCTAATTTTATTGTTGATTTCAAGACTGTTTCTCTGCACATTGTGTCTAATGCCTGGGTGAAGAACATTCATATTGCAGTGGTGTACAGCAAAATAATGCCTTCTAGCATATTTCAGTTGTGCAGAGCAAATTAATTTCACCTTAATCCCGTAGAAACTTGAGTTTTATTTTTTTTGCAGACATAAAACCTGAAAATTTTCTTGCAGCAAACATGAAGAAATGTACAGGATCTCCTCGAAAAAATGATGGCCTTTCTCAACGAGGTAGGTCTAACTCTAAACTTCAATACTCTTTTTTATAACAGGCCTATACATTTAGTGACATGTCTTGAAAAGCCACCACCCCAACTGTTCTTGTTCTGTTTCAATCTGCTAGTCTTTCAAAAGCAAGTTCTACGACATCTGCAAGTAATGAGGCTGATGCTGGAGCAAAACAGAGAACTTTTGGAAGCCTTGCAAGCTGGGAACATGCGCAGCGAAGCCATAGTCCCCTCACTTCTGCCAGAGCCATTCAATGACATGCAAGAGTTCACATCGTTTGACGAGACAATTCAGGAGGCCACAAGAGATCAGCTGGTAAGAGTCTGCTTAAGATGCACTGGTAAAACTTGGGATTATCTGTAAATGCTTTCCAGACGCTCTTGTATCTAATTGCAAAAATATTACAATGATTATCCAAGTTCACATCAAAAAAGGACTAAAGGAGCATTATTCGTTTCTCGATAGGGGTTATGCCGGGTCTGCAAAAGCAGTGAAAGCAAGCCTTTAAAATGGGAGTCTGACAAGAGTATATATACTCTTGTCAGACTCCCATTCCCATGATGATACATAGTCATGTATGTATCATCATGAGGTATGATATATACATATATGTGTATATCATACCTCATTTCATAAATAAGCATAGTAATTGAATGATTAATGCAGTGACCCAAGGCACTCTGTCATTTCTGTTTGTTGATAACTTATGATTGCTATATAACAGGAAAGTAAAATAAGTATTGGAGGAAAAGCGCATATATAGTTAGCTCAGTGGTATCGGAAGTGTTCAGGTAAGGCGGGGGGGAAGGGGGGGTCAGGATAGAGATGAGGATTTCCCTTCCCTTCCCACTAAGTGCTCGCTATAAATGTCAGGGACAATCACGCCTCTGTTGCTACACCAAACACCGGTGGGCAGCAAATTGGTTAACTGGATCAATTGATTCATAGTTTCAAAGGTAACAAGCACTGAAATAACCAGGACCAAGATGAAGTCACTCAACACAAAGCACACTTGGAACTGTTATTTATTCAGAAAGAAAATGTATTATACAGGCCCCATCAGCAAGTCTATGCTCCGTCTCGGCTTAAAGGCCGACAAAGAAGCAGAAAGGAGGAACCCCTCCAGCCTCTTTTACCCTCTCCACTTGATACCTTCCTCAGCGTGGCTCCCTTCACTGTTCTGGGGGAAAGGGTGATTCTGCCTGTGCAGAACTCAAGGTTGTACGTCAGGCTTTGAGGATTGAAAAAACGGTTGGTTGGGGCAAACCAAATGTCTGCCATTCAAATCAAGTGCAGCCTATGGCTGCATTCCGAGCCGGCGTTAGATTGGCCTCAGTCACTTGTAGCATTGGCTACGCTCGGACTTTAGTCAAAGTGAAGTATATAGTTGCAACACATCAATGCAAGGCATTTCATAGAAATTAAAACTTCTTGTTTGATAGTATGGTGTTACACAATGTTAAAGTTCTTGCTAGATACAGTGACAAGCAGGAAGCTGCATTAGACAAGCGAAATCTGGGTCAAATACAAAGATTGTGTGAGCAAGGGATCGATTGCATCATTAAAAAAGAGTTTGAATTCTTAACATATTATTTCCACCGACGTGATGATGACTAGACTAGAATGGGTCGTATATAATGTGTTCTTTCTGAATGAACAACAGTTGCGAGTGTGCCTTGATTTATCCGATTCTTTGTGCTTGTTACTGCGGCATTTGTTGCCTTTTTAAACTGGTGAGCATGCGATTACAGTCACATAAAATGGTAAAATTTTGCGGGTGTCATATCATTCTGCTTAGAAGAAATATTAGCTTTTATTTATATACAGCATCTTATTATACACATTTATGCAAACTTGATAACAGTAGTCTCATATGGGCTTAATCAAGGAGTAAAAATGCAGAACTCAGCCCAACTGAACTCTATAAAATGTATAAAAATGCTTGCTATTGTAAATGCCTATTGTTTTCCTCAGATTGCCAACTTGAAATCTTTCGGTGGGGATAATGTATCTTGTAACACAAGAAGAGTCTTGGAGTATCTTATGACGGACAACGTGGCCCAAAACTACAGCTGGATTGGAAATAAAGGAAAGAAAAAATTCTGTGAGCTCAAAGTGAAACAGATCATTACTGGTAAGCAATTCTATGATTTGTGAAAGATATGTTAGAATTTGCTAACTGTCCAGTTAACGCAATAAACATACATAGCAAGTTGTCTCATTTGATCATAGCTCTTGCTGACTGTAATTCATAATGCGTGAACAATTCATATAGTAGGTTTAAACATTTACAATTAAAATAATTACAGTTGCAGGCACATTAATAATGTTTATTTTAAAACTCAAACTTCTTAGCACAGACATTTTGAGGTATTGTTGTAACAAAGAGCCTACGCCATGTCGTGTGTCACAATCTGAAAAACTAAAAAAAAAGAAAATCTTGAAGCTGTAGATGAATATGAGAAACCTAGGCTTTACGGAAACAAATCTTTCAGCAGTGCTTTCTTATGTTGCCCTGGAAGCAGCCGTCACTCTTTCTACAAGACTGCTTTTTACATACCGTAACCCTTACCTCATTTTTTTCTTATTGGTAGCAGGACCGCTTTCAAGTATTTAGGTCACATGCTTGTTTCCTTGTCGTTTTTTTCCAAAGTGTAAATGCAACTTTTTGTTCATCACCAAAGTTGTGATAAAAAGAAAACAACCTAAAATAAATTATTTAGTTTTAGAAAATTAAACCAGAAATGCGTATTATTAATTATAAATTAGTGACTAAGTTGGTACTTACGTTTGTTGCCGTGTTAAATCGTTTTCAGCCCTCTCATTTTGCATTAAAACTGCATTTTATATTACTTTAATTTCAAGATGCTGTAAGATCAAACCCAAAGTTTACTGCAACAGTCGACGACGTGGAGAGGGAGATTAAAAAGTGGCTACAGCATGCTTCCTGCCGAATCAAGCTCCGACAAAAGAAGGTTCAGGTAACATTTTTTATCAATTATGCTTATTTTTTCATTTCCATAAATTATTTTCAACACATTGTAATACTTCAACCAATCCATATTTTACCATTTTTACTATTGCGATGTAAGGAAAGGAGAAAGAGGGGCGGGTACCTCTGTATGATAGTATTCCGTTCGGAAATATCTACACAAACAAGTTCTCTTTTAGTACAGAAATTGGAGCAAGCGCTAGGCAGTAAGTGAAGCAATCTAAGATTTTTGTTTGTGCATGGAAAATATCTAAATCAGTTTCTGCAAAGCTTTCTCATACGAAATCATAACCCCTTACCACATAAATTGTATTAGTGCCAAAAACTTACGCTGCCTTCACTTTGATACAAAAGTACCCATACCAGGCTTGTTTTTTCTAAAAAAAATCGCTCAGTTGCGACTTTATTACAACTATAGTGTCACTCCTTTTTACTTGCATTAAGAAAAGGCTATTTTGATGCGAACAAACAAAAAAAAAGAAAACAGAAGTATCATATCGGATGTCATAAGGAAACATTTTTTGTAATGAGAAGTATTTCTGTCCAATAGTTTGTCAGGCTGGTGTACAAAAAAATATGACACCCCTTGTGCCTCTGTAGTGCTGGAAGTTGCAGTATTGCACTCCCAGTGAAACGCCTTAAAGCAGTTGTGCTTCCTGTTGAAAAGGAGGTGTCTATCAGGCGAATACAGGAGGGCAGTTTAGAGTGCAGTCACTTCTCTTGCCAGGTGGGGAAGTGGTCCATCTCGTCTAGGTGCACATCAGTAGGTTGCAGTGGCGCCACTAGGATTCTCATTTTGCTTGCATAGATATGCGCATCCATTCAATAGTTTGGTCTCCCTGGAGGCTTCCCGTCATGCAGCTTCCCTGCTTTGCATAATCCCTCTGCGACATATGATTTGAACTCGAGCAGCAATGTCTTGCAGTACCCTTGTCTTCATTACAGGAGCCACGCATTCAGTGCCGTCAGGTCCATCATGTGGAAGCATATGCGGTGGTACCGCTTCTTTGCTCTAGTTTTGATGCAACAGTACCCCAGTATTCAGTCTAGGAGTTCCAGTCCACCTATGTGCATTTTGCATATGAGCATTGCGTGCGGTGAATGCATGATTATGTGTGGTTTGTCATTCGTAAAGTAACCTATGACTTCTTTTATAGCTGTATATAAAAAAGGAACCTAAAAAAAAAAGACCGATACCAAAAATCGTTACATCGACAAGTTAATCTTTTGACTCCAAAGCAGGGCGATACGGCGATATATGCCTGCATAAAAGCGCGTTTCCAACTCTTGTTTTGCTAAAAACTTTGCAATCAAATTATAAAGAACTACTCTCTGCCAAATTAATTTCTTCTGAAGATGGAGCCACTGGACGTGTGGTTTCTAGGCGTTACAAATTTTACTCTGAATATGAAAGGTATTTTTGAAAATATGGGTACGCATTGCTAAAAAAGAAGCATGCGTATCATATACGATATACCATTTACTAAGGAGCTAACATTTTTCTCAACCACTACAAACCCACAAGGCTTTTCATATGAACCTTTACGTGCCTTATTATTGATTTGAAAAGAATTTTATTCATGCAGGGTGCACAGAACTGAGGTCATCTCAAATCGCCAAAGCACAAGTTGTCAAGCCCAAGTTGTCAAGCCCAAGTTGTCAAGCCCAAGTCGCCAAGCCCAAGTCGCCAAGACCAAGTTGCCAAGCCCGTTGCCAAGAAGGCAGCAAGTTTTTTCATGTTTTATATTTTATGTATTATATTTTAAACTCGATATAAACTATAGTAAAGAATTTAATGCCTGTAACGCCAGACTGTGGTAGCTTTTTGCATGAATAAAAGAAAATTAAATTAGGACAATATTTGTGTATTTTGCAAATTGTGTGATGGGAAAACAGTCAACAGGTGAAGTTGTTTACATACATCACTCAACCATTTTATACTCATTGCTCACTCTGGAAAAAGTGAGCAGGAAGTATGGGATTGTCCAAAAAGCCGACTATGTTACTGGCTTGCAGGTTCTTTATATTGGTTGCAGATTCATAATAGTAGACGGTGTTCTTATAAAAAGCCCTTACATATACCTAGCACAAAAAAAAAATTGGAAAAATTCAAATAGCAGCTGCTAAGTGCTTTTTTATTGTCACCTGTCATATCATCAAACAAGTCACTTTTGCCTTTAAGTAGTGAAAATAAGTAAGAATATGTGTGTTCTTAAGCTCTATCCAGTCATAAAAAAAGTTATATAAATAAGCCAATGATATAGCAGTGTAGTAAAACTTGAAGAGGGTGTCTTTAGGTGGTGCACTTGCCATACTCAAATTTCCTGTGGGTATTAAAAAACTCATATTTTTTTTTATAAGCATCGCGAAAAAAGAGGAAAGAAATCACCTGGTTGACGTTGCTACTCACAGGTAATACCACACATTCTTAAACCTGTTTTTGGCTGTTCTTCTAAAAAAATCTTTATTGTTTTTGTTTTATGTGGTACCATTTGTAAGTGTAACATTAGCCTAGTGATCTGTTTTTCTTGAAGTTGTGCATAAGAAATTAGGTTTTTCATCTTGACAATCTCTAAATCTACTTTTAAAACAAAATAGCATGATAAATGCACTGCTTAAAGCACCTTTGTGAAAAGTTTAATCTCGCTGCGTTCACTGGCCTATTTATACAGCTTTTTTTAAGCCTGGATATTGCTCCAGTACACCCTGTGCTGTAAGATGCATCAGACACATCCTGTGGACACTGTGTATTCATCACCTAAACATTTTGTGGACATCCACACTAATGCTTATAACATGTCTATGTGATGTCCTTTGGATATTACGGAAACATCCTGTGGACGTAATGAGACCGTCTTGATGACCTTATGTGGACGTACAGCTCGAGGCAATAGACACATCCTAAGGATATCTTATAGACATAAATTGAATGTTTTTTAACATCCCCTGGACAACTAATATCTTGCAGGGGATATTGTCTGGATGTCCATTAGACGTAACATGGTTGTCTGGGAGTACATACTTGCGATGTTTGATGGATCATAGCAGATATCCACTGGATATGTTAAATGTCCGGACAACACATCTCTCGGATGTTTAATAGACAATTGCTCGTTGACTGGGTACCATCAAACCAATGTGCACCGGGGCACCTGTTGCCAATTACCGCTCATTGTTTTTCGCCCCCTTAATGCCATCAACCCAATGTGCACAGGGGTGTCTGTCGTCAATTGCCGCTTATTGGGTTTCGCCCCATAAATACAATCAATCCTATGTGCACACGGGGGCTTGTTGCCAATAGCTGCTCATTACTTTTTTCCCCATAAATACCATCAACCCAATGTGCACAGGAGCACCTGTTGCCAATCGCTGCTCATTGGTTTTTGCCCCATAAATACCCTCAATGCAATGTGCACCAGGGTACCTGTTGCCAATTGCTGCTCATTGGTTTGTTTCATAAATGCCATCAGCCCAATGTGAATTCCCTAAAAGATTACCAATTGGTGCACATAGGTTTTGTTTTATAAATGCATATTGCTCAGTGTCTGGACCTACAGTTGCACATTAGTTCAATGTGAATTTTGGCCTCATTTCACTTCGCCCATTTTCAGCAGGGTGGATTATGTCGTCGTTCAGCATCTATTGAATTTACTCCTGGATCACCTCCCTTTCTTTAACGGAGACTCTGTACGGTGATCGATGCACAGGGCGCGCGTCGTCCTCGGTAACGATGCGGTGCTTCGATACGGCTGTTTGGCGCACCTTCGACGACGTCGCAAAGCAGTCACGGTATTCGGTGAGGAGGTTAATCAGCTGCCGTCGTTTCGGGTCCGGAAGCTTAGGGTCGATGTCGAGCTGCGCTGGCGACGTACCGTCTTGCTGAGGTGGCGAGGATTCGTCAGTAATGGCGGCGATTTCGGCGGAGTTTCGGAGTTCCTCGACGTGGCCAACGGCTGCACCTTTTGTGAGGGTTTGCGTTTCATTCCAGAAGTTCGTCACGAGGACCACAGTGCGGCCATCCTGAAGTTCAGCTACTCCTCGTGCGACGCCTATTCCTCTTCCTAAAAGCAACTGTAGGTTGCCTTCCAGAACAACCTCGCCTCGGGTAGCTGCATCGGTCACGACGGGTACGACAACACTTGATTGAGGCGGCAAGTGCACGTGGTCGGCAGCGACTCGGACGGCGGCTGACGCTGTATGGGGTTTCTCTGAAGGCAGAACAGGCTTGCGCAGCGTCAATTTGTTCTCACCAAGGTCGATGACGGCGGCGTATGCACACAGGAAGTCCATGCCGAGAATGACGTCTCTGGAACAGTCTTGTAGAACGACGAACTTCACAGGGCACGTCTCACCGTGGATCTCGACGCCAGCAGTGCATCTCCGACTGGTGTAATGAGGTGTTCTCCGGCGGTTCGTATTTGAGGTCCATCCCACGGCGTCATGACTTTTCGAAGGCGGCGGGAGAGCCTCCCACTCAAAACGGAGTAGTCTGCTCCGGTGTCGACGAGTGCCGTCACGTCGTGGCCGTCGATGATAACGTTGAGGTTATTCGACACTGATACAGAAACGTCGTTTAGGGGCGTTGCGTTTGAGTGGGAGAGCTCCGACGATCTTGGAGGATCTTGGCATCGTTCGTCATCGGCAACGCCACCTCCCGGCATTGCCGCGCCCAGTTTTCCCGACCGGAAGCGACGGGTGACAGGCTGTCTCGGCGAGACCGGCGGAAGGGCGATGGCGCGCGTTGAGGAGATGGTGAACGGAATACTCGGCGGGGAGACGACTCAGGAGATGAAGAGCGTTGGAGGTAGTCCTCGATGTCCCGAGGTCGCTCTCCAAGACGTGGTCGAGGGTCGTTGGGCGCAAACCCTGGTAGGCCCAGCTGGCGGTAGGGGCATCGTCGGTAGATGTGGTCCGCTTCACCACAGTGGTAGCACATGGGGCGTCGATCGGCCGTCCTCCAAACGTCGGTCTTCCTCGCACCACGCTGCTCTGGGCGTGGAGCATACTGCGGCGCCGGTGCCTCACGTCTGGGAGCTGGCTGATAGTGTGCTGTGACGGGAGGTTCTCTCTTGACGGCGGCGGCGTAGGTCAGGACCGGCCGTTCGGGAGCCACTGCGACGGGGACCTCTGGCAAGAGGGCCCGGTGCACCTCCTCGCGAACAGCTTCGGTGATTGAAACAGCGGCGGGTCGTTCTGGGGAAGGGAGCAACCGCTTCAGTTCTTCTCGAATCACATCCCGAATGACCTCCCGAAGGGTCTCGATGCCAACTTCGCCGAGGTCAGGGATGGAAGATGGAAGGGATGAGGTGGCAGCTACGCCGACGACTGTCTGATAATGACTCGCCCTGGCCGACAGCGCTCGTTCAATGTTAGTTGCCTCAGCAACAAATTCATCTACGGTCGTCGGTGGATTGCGAACGAGGCCGCCAAAAATCTCGCTTTTGACGCCTCTCATGAAGACGCGCAGCTTCTTGTCTTCGGCGGCTCCAGGGTCGGCACGGGCGCACAGGCGCAGGACGTCTTCAGTGAAGCTTGTCACGCTCTCGTTCAGACCTTGGCATCTTCTTTGAAGAATGTTCTCGGCTCGTTGACGTCAGTGTTGGTTTGTGAAGGTGCGCTTTAGCTCCTCCACGCATGTCTCCCACGTCGTGAGGGAAGCCTCGTGGTTCTCAAACCATTGTCTTGCCGTTCCCTCCAGTGCGAAGTAAACTTTTGGAGGCGCTGTTCTGCCATCCACGCGTTGTAGCGAGCCACACGTTCGTAGTGCTGCAGCCAGTCTTCTAGGTCCTCGTAGATTTCACCGTGGAATGGCGTCGGCACACGGGGAACCACAGGCAAGAAGGCGTAGGACGGTGCTGCTTGGGGGTTTTCCGTCGGCTGGGCCGTGGAGTTCATCGTCGGCTTCGGTAGCATCTTTGTTACGTCCGCTAGTGGTCCAAACTCAGGGCGTTGTCTTTGCAGACGCTGGCTTGCCCGAGGCCCTGAATCCACCACGAGTCGACGACTTGGAGTGGGACTTGCCGAACGGGTCCTCGGAGGAGTACGGTTGAGAAACATAGAGTGTCTACCCCGCACCTCCACCAAAAGGTCACGAATGACAAGTGATGAGGCGTCAAATAACTGAGTAAACTAAACGTTTAATCGGGCGAACTTGTGCCCAAAATAAAGAAGGAAACAAAAGATAACAGCAGAACGTCGCGGGCGTCGAAGTCGGCGAAAGAGCAGAGTCGAACGCTGGGGCGAAACTGACTCGACAAGGTAGCGGGTGGCCTCTTATCTAGAGTGAGTCACTATCTCGAAGATTCGGTGGAGAAGGTTCGAGCGTAGAGCGCTCGGGGCGAGAATGAACACACACTTTCTAGAACAACAAAATCAGGGATGAACGATAGAAGGTGTGTCCGCAGCAAGAATAAACAAGAATCTTCCACACGACCGTGACCCTGCGCGCGGCAATATAAACTTCTGCGAAGCCGATCAGCCGTTGGGTATGCTGAGCTAATTATTACGATTTCGCGAAATGTTCACCCCTAAACTGACAGTGCGGTGGAAGCTGTATGTTCGTTTGACAGTCAACTGTTGATTCTGCACAACGTGATCACCGTCTATCCGCATACTCACGCGGGGAGAACGAGGCCAAGTGATAAGAGGCTTTAATTATAGTTGGCGAAAAAGTAGCTTGCACCGCACTGTCAGCGTAGGCGTGAACGAAATATAGGACATGCAAAAACCTAAAATATATGTACCGTAATTTCCGGGCTATAGTCGGTACCCGGTGTATAGTCCGCAGGGGCAAATTGGGGGTCCAAAGTAAAAGTTCTTGCTTAGATACTTAGAAGGTCCGCACCCGGTGCATAGTCCGCGTGCCGTGCATAGTCGGCACGTGGTGCTTAGTCGACACGAAAATCTTCTTTAGACGGCACACCTTGACACATGTCTGCTTTCTTAGCACACAAAGAATCCTATAATATACATAAATCATCCTTAACATACTCTTTCACTCACAAAATCCGTCACATCTCCTCATAATGAACGATCTTGAAAAACAAAATTCGTGTATAGTCCGCACGCGTAGAGCCTAAAATTTCAACTTTTAAACATGTATAGACCTTGAACTATAGCCCGGAATATACGATATGAAAAATAAACACACCGTTAAATATAAAGTCAGAGCCAGCAGCGAGCTGCAGAGTGGATGTTTACAATAATGAACCCTCCCAACTGCTTGAGAAATTTCCCGTCAAATTACGAGGGCGGCCAATATCTTTGTGTACGTCTTAGAGACTCGTGAATCGAGTGCACTGGAAACTTCCGTTTTCGAAGCCGCTAAAACGTCGTTCAATGACATTGCATCGTCACAAAGATGTTAGCCACTCGCTTATGTTGTCTGGCTGCATGAATGTTGTCGCAAAAACAAACACAGAAATTAAGCTTCCATAAAAGCTCGTACTCACGAGTTCTCCTAAGAGATAAGGCGCAGGGCTCTGAGTAAAGGCACTGCCGCTGCAGCACGGATAAATAAACACGTGCATATTATAACGGAAACATAACGTGCTGAAAAAGAAACACCAAAAGCACGATGTGTCGGTGGACGCCCGTGTTCTCAGACCGCGGATTTGGAACACGCTCGAGCGCTTTCCGTCTTCAACCGAAAGCACTCGAACCGCAAACATGAAGAAATATTCGATTACAATACGTAAAAAAGACATTGCAAGGATAAAGTCACATTGCATACCTTGAAGTGGGCGATTTAGTGGTCGATGAGCTGATGAGTCCCTGATGCATCACCGAACACTACACTGACCACGATGTCAACAGCCACCGAGGCGAGTTCGGCGACCGCCCGAAGAGCGATAGCTGCTGCAACCTCTTTTTGCGCCTGCGCGGCACGGGCGCACGACTCGGAGCAAAACAACAGAGATGGGAAAGAGCAGGCGGCAACAACGAGGTGTTGCAACAACCGCAACAACGCACCAACACCGCCGCCGGAGGGCCGCGAAAGAGCTGCGGGGCTGCGCGCTGCGCGGCGGGGCAATCAACTCCTCGCCATCTGCGCATGCCTGCACTACTGAGATTTCGGCTTTTTTGGAAGGCTCGGCTCTCGCGCCAAATAAAGAATGAGGGCATCCTCGTATTTTGAAATGATGAGCGTGCCGGTCTTTTTTGACGAGGGAAAAACACGTAAAATTGACGTAAATTTTTTACAGTGCAGAACATCGCAGTGTTCGGCTGCGCATGATATGACACAATTGCTCATATATTGCGCAAATGCACGACCTACCGAACACAAAGGAGGAACCTTCCAGATCGGCGTGGCGCGACACGACAAGCGTCCAGTTTTTCCTTACTCGGCTTAAGGAATTATCTACAAAAACAAGCCAAGGCCAGAAATGCCCTTCGGTGTTTTCTGAAGGAAACACGCCTGGGCATATACTTTATGAAAATTTCATGAATAAACCCAGTGGTGTGTGTGCGCATGTGTGTGTGTGTGTGTGTGTGTGTGTGTTTGTGCGTATTTTCTTTCTTTTACTGTGCAATAACCGTCGTTGATGAGGCTTCACATTCGATCCCATGCGTGGTTCCTGTAAGTTGTGACCAGAAACTTCTTCACTAAATTCAGTGGGAAATCACAGTGTCGTTTCATTGTGGCGTCACAGTGTCAGGTTGCGTCACAGTTTTTTTGCTAAATTCAGCGGGAAACTTTCTTCGTTCAATTTAGCGGGAAGCTTGGTCGGTTCAGTTTACCGGGCATTGAGTGTCACGTGACGTTATGGTGCCATGTGACATCATAATGTCACGTCAAGTTACGACGTCACGTGGCGTCACAGCTTTACATGAACACTGTACACTTAATTTAGCGAAATTTCTTTTACACGTCAATGTAACTGTATGAAGCAGTGTGAAGGCAACCGCCCCAGGTCAATAGCAACACACATCAGAGAGTCGGGTTATAATAGTTTTACGTCCGGTGCTATAGGTGTTGTGTCTTCCCCATACATAACGGTTTTCTCCTCTTTAGTTTTTGTATTCCCTCCCCTGCGCAGAATAGCCAGCCAGGACTATTATTTATGTCACTATCAATGGAGTAATGTTTTTTTGCAGCACTTTTTTCCACTCACTATCTCGCTGAGCATTTATGTGCACGCTTTGACGTGATTGCTTTTTTGTTTTCAAATTCCGCTTATTGAATCGATAAGCGAAATTCGAAAAAAAAAAGTTTGTGTATCAACACATCGCCAAGGTATACGTTTCGTCTAAAGATTAACGTTTTTGATGAGACTAACACAAAAGCATTTTGAAAAATTAAAAGTTGATAATTTTTTCTATTGCACCAAGGTGACCTCTGTGTTTTAAGGTGCTTCACTTAAACGTCACGTGTTTAGAATTATTACTCCGCTTTAAATACTACTCTGAACAATCTGTTCATCCTCATTTCAAGGCCATCGTGATAAAGCACGACCGGATATATGCTTACAATCTGTGCTCGCTTTAAAAAAGGAAAAGCATACTTCCGTTGGTCGTTCGACACTCGCTCAATAAGCCGTCATTTCTAGCTGCCCCGTAAATGGTCCCTGATGCCACTAATGACTTCTTTTCTTAAAAGGCTTACATATGGATGCCTTGTCCGGGATTGTTTATCACGCGCAATATTTTTTTTTGTCAATATCATAATTTTTACTACACTGAAGATAAAATTCGTGAACGTAACCTGATACCTGACATGCTTTCTAATGATAACTGTATCTTAACATATGGTCGGTGCTTCTAAGCAGTACTATAAAATGCTGCGCCGGTCGTGATTAAGCGTACGTGACGAAGAACGAGCAGCCTGAAGTGCTCTTCTTTTATTCGATATCTGTCTTTCCTGCTGTTCGATGTCGTCTTCAATTCTGATTATTCCTCATTCTGCTGACTTGTTCTGCAAAAAATATGAAAATAAATATATGTAAGCCAAAAGTCATAGTTTCAAAGTGCTTTCAAAACCCTTAAGATATGAGCCTCTGTTTGAGGAAGGCATTTTTGCGTGACTGAGATGTTTTAGAGCACTACATTGGCTTTCTTCTGCATTTTACACACGCAAATTAGTGTAAAGACAGCAGTTTTCAACATACCTTGATATTGCAATATGTTCATGTCAGGTACCAAACAGGAAATAACATTCATTACACCGTTCTGATAAACCTTAAAAGTAATCGGTTTGCATGTAAAAGAATTGTCTTACAACAAAAAAATAATTCGGATGCTAATTGTTTCTGTTTTTTTTTTTTTTTAACACGTGGCAGTTGTTATTAGGTCGAGGCTCTTTTTTGTGAGTCTACCTGCGTGGCTCTTTTTCGTGCCTTCGGGTTATTAGTTAATGTTCAATTATTTTAAGCAATAGTTAGATTTGACTTACAAAATAATGCCTTAAAAATGGCGGCTCTAGTGAGATAGCACTTCTCTAAAAAAACTGTGCGTGTCATCAACAAACTATTTATGGCACAAAAGACACAAGAAAAAGTAATGTAAACCGCGTGCGTCCTGTCGTTCTGTAGAAATTTCTATCAATATCATCATTGTCATCATTATCAGTTTATTTTGTGTGCTCATGAACGGCGAAATTGCCTCGATTATAACCCGCAGAAGAGTGGTTATAGATCCCGAGAGGTTGATGTCCGCTCTGTGATCTCGTTAACAGGGTGTTTCACGAAAGGTGGACAAATTCGATATTGCGAAAACTACGCGTCGCAACAAAAAATGCTTGTGTCGTTTTTTCCCTGGGTCAGGGGCCCATCTAGGAAAATTATTGAAGTCCGGTATAATTGGATTGTTAGTTATTTTCGTGCAATTAACTTTTTTATTATTGTGTTTAAGGACGTGGTTTCAGTTAGAAAATTGCTCAGAATCATCGAAAAACACTAAACCAACAAATTGCAGAAAATTGCACAAATTGCATGCAACGCGCGTTGCATGCATCCTGAGTTGCATGCAGCCTGAGTTGCATGCAACGCGCGGTTACGCCGACGGCGACGGCGAAGGCGACGCCGCTCAAGCCGGAAACGGGCGCCTAAGAGCTGCGCTCTAAAAGTTAGTTACGCAAAAATAATTCACAATCCAATTATACCGGACTTCAATAATTTTGCTAAATAGGCTCCTGGCCCAGGACCAAAACGACACAAGCCTTTTTTGTTGCGACGCGTAGTTTTCGCAATATCGAATTTGTTCACTCTTCGTGGAACACCCTGTATAGTATTTATATGGGTTATGAAACTAGCTAAGATGGCATAACTAACATAGGTAGTAACAATAAAACTAAATAAGAAATAATCAATGCGAATTCGTAATAACCCTTCAAAGGTCACCGCAAATGTGTTGTTTGGGATACAGACTTGTTAGATAAATGTCGGTAAAAATAACTAAACAATTTTTTAGCCTTTAATTTAAGTCGTTCTTCCGTCAGTGGCTGCACATTATATGTGCTTAGAACTTTCTGAAGTATGAACACCTTCCAATAAGTTTAGAATACGGCCTTACTTACTCTCTCAGTAGAAGTGGTCTCCAGAGCTCGCAGATATCACGCCGTGGGGTCAAAGCTCTGGTGTAATTATGTGGCCGGAGGTATATGCACTCGGGATTGCTGGCGCTGTACCTTGGCCATTCAGTCGTGGATGATGGGATTGATGGCTTCCTGAGAAATCATATAAATATTCCTTTTAATAATGCCAGATCAAAAGCCGCATATTTTGTTTTAACACCAGTGTAACACAACTTTATTTATAATATATGCACGCATAGGCTGTTTTAAATGGTACCCAGCGCAAGCTCTAAGAAGTTCACATATGGGACAAAATGCTGCAGACTAAGTACAGTGACCGCTGATATGAACTGGAAGGCATGAGCGACAAGAAGGCAGCAGAGAACACGCGGTCTAGCAGGCAGTGAGCGAAGCGTCAGAGCGGCAGGGGCGGTGTTTAAACTTGGGGTCGCCACCCTCGGGCGCGATACAACCGCACCCTCCGCCGTGTGCATGATGGTGGGCAGAGCAGCTGCAGAGCAGATGCGCCGCGACGCGCACGATGTATCTTGCGCATCATGCAGAGAAATCGCGCTCAAGGGGTGCGTCCACAAATTTAAGGGCAGCCACCGCTGCCCTGACCCTTCGCTCCCTGCACTCTCGACCGCGTGGTCTACATTCTCTTGTCGTCGCTCGTGCATTCCAGCCTATATCGCTGCCACTGTACGTAATTCTGAACACGAGAGATCAAGCACGCACAAGGGACCCTATACTGGCACATAACTGGAAAATAACTATAAACGAGCTTACCCAGTCTCAATGAATGAGGTCCAAATTCCAATCAGTTCCTTCATGAAAGCCAACTCGTCTTGTGTGTAACGGATACCCTTCAATATCTTTCTGACGCCTTCTCCAAGGGGAGCGGTGAACCTGCTGGTGTCGTTTATAAACGGCAAGGATCCAAGCGTGAACGCCATGTCGTCATTGTGGGTAGGTCCGAAGGACTTTGGCAAATGCTGTAGGACGGCCGATGCGCAAAGATGTATCTGTAGGCTTTAATTCCAAGCTCGGCCGCAACTTCGCCGAAGAGAATGGTGGGGCAGTCGACAACAACGTCGCCAAAGATCTTCTCTAGGATACTGTTGAGCGATGTTTCGTCGTGCTCAACCGAGTCGTCTCCAAAATAAGCGTGCACGATTTGTTTCGCCCTGGCGAAAGGGGCATCTAACAAGGTTGAAATGGCGACAGTTCCTGCGATTCGATAGTCAATACTCAAAACCTTCGTGAGTTGTGGTACCTGGGATTTGAGGAAATCTAAGAAGTACGATCCTTCGTTGGAAGTCGATCCCGAAAGAATTTCCTTAGTGCTAAGGGATTTCCATATCTCTTTTGATCTAATATCGTCTGGCAGAAATTCGTCACCATAAACCGGAGTAAAGAACTGGTTGATTGGATCCCCTTTCTTGAGTGTTCGGTAAATTGTCTCCGCGTCGGTTTTCTTTAGACAGGTGACGATTTCAGCAAAATCATTAAACCAGTCTTTTTCACCGGTGAAACAATCTAGGGCCCCAGCGACACTCAAAAATTTCCCTGCGCCAGCGGCTGTGAGACCTACAGCTAACGACAACGGTGTCGCACTTTCAAGAATGAGACGAGAAAATAGCTTCTGACTATGAGGCGAGATGGCATGAAGACCAGCAGAGACGGCTCCAGAGCTGAATCCGCTGAGCGTGATATGATTGGGATTTCCGCCGAATTGCCCAATGTTATCTCGAACCCACTTCAAAGCGAGATTTTGATCCCATAGACCAAGATTGCCAGGCAGTTCTTTTCTTCCCGATGCCAAAAATCCGAGGACACCCATGCGGTGGTTCATGGTTACGTAAATAACGTCCGAGAGCGAAACGAAATTGGCTGGGTCAGATAAAAAAAGAGACGAGTCACCGATTTGGAACCCGCCGCCATAAATATAAACGACCACGGGAAGCTTCGTGTCACATTCACCAGACTGTGAACACACGGACGATGGCCTCCAAACGTTCAAGAAAAGGCAGTCTTCAGATGATATGGAGGCATTGAGGTAGTTGAGGGTGATCGTAGAGTAAGGCACGTCGTACTGCCAACAAGGCTTGGGTTTCTCGGTGGCATTGTAGATTCCTTTCCAAGGTTTCGCCGGCACCGGTTTTTGAAAACGAAGTTTCCCGACTGGGGGCTCTGCGAACGGAATGCCGTAGAATGCGTCCACGTGTCTTGCGGGGAGAGCCAATTTTCTGCCCAGGATGGGGCCATGGTCCGTGTGCACCACCGGAGTGTCGCTCAAAGGTTTGGAAGCGGAAATCACCAGACGCGCACAAATAACGAGCGAAAATGTCCGAAGCAGAGCTGCAGAAGGCATGTTGGCTTGGTAGGATTCCTTCTCGAATGCTATCAGATTCACTTCCGTTAACCAATTCGCATGGTATACTCTAGTCGCGTTTTTTAAGTCCCTTGTTTCACATTTGAAGAACCTTCGCTTACGCGCGCCGCTATATAGCCTCAGCTGTGACCTTGGCGTTCCACGCAAGTTGTTTTCGTCGTATTGGTTTTTCTTTCCCATACTTCATTTCTCCTGGTATGACTTTGTCAGTACTATGCTGCCGTTTTTTTTTTTAAATTAATTTATTCTATTTATGTTCAGTTGTTGTTTTTACCTCGTAATGAATGCCTAAATTTCCTCGCCTATGAAATGTTTTTTTTTTTTGCCTTCTGGCCCACGGGCAAGAGCAATAAGCAACTGACGGTTTCACCAATTACACTTTTGTCTATAATATCTCTTGGGTCAATTCAGCAATTACGATGATTTTATGGCAATTATTGAGCCAACTTCATCGCGCGTATAAAAACAAGCGAAAGTGGCTCTGAGACGGTGTCGTAATTTGCCTTGTGAACTGATGATGCTTCCATATAGCAAATGAAGGAAGCGCGTTTTCTGTTTACATCGTGTCCCTGTCTTATTTTTTGGCGATATTTTATGTTTAACGAAGGAAGTATGCTTGACACCAGTGGGCGTGAGTAAAAAAATTCAGTTTTGCTAATTGAATTAATCAGATTCCTGCCCTTACTTCAAGCAGGCTAAGAGTCTGCGAATTGCCTTAATTTATGCAAATATTTTCTCTAAAACAATTTCTAATTTAAGTATGACTTCCTGAAATTTATATTTTAGATGCATATGTTATAATTTTCGTTGCAAATTGAGGAGAGCATTAAGTTTACATTTGGTGGCCAGAATCAAGAGGATAATACATCTGCGCGAGCGTCTGCATATATAGCAAGATTACATTACAACAGATACTAACCAACTAGAGGAGAGTATGCTTATATTTCATTGCTTACGTCGACGGGGGGGGGGGGGGGAGTTTCTTATTAAGTGGATAACATTTCATGTTATCATTTCTGTATTCATGGGATGTTTCCAGGTGAAAAAAAAAAGTTGAAAGACAGTGAAACACATAAGAATAGGGACAAGTGAAACGACAGGACACGGATGTCATCGGCAATGGAAGACACAGTTTAGTGGCAGTGTGTAGCTGCCGAATATATATTATTTTGATGGTCAAAATCAAAACGAGGAAGAGAAAGGAACGTTTTCTACTTGTCTGTACTTGAAGATTGAGTATGAATAATCAGTCCTTCCCGACGCCCAAACACTCATTCTAGGCAGCCTAATGATATTAGTATATTCTAAAGGCTAGAAATTAGCCCATTCTAGTAGTTATACACTAAGTATTTTATCTAGGGGGGGGGGAACATAATTTATAAACACTCTGTCTGAAAAAAATGTATGAATAAACTTTCAAAAATGATTCCAGTTTTTACTTGTTAGATATATTAGGAATGACTATGAATAATAGGGAGTTTCAATATAACGCACGCAATTTACCGCACGCTAGCGCTAAATTTAGCGCTTGTATTAGCGCACGCGACGTGAGAGAGTTTTAGAATAGCGTTTTTCCGTCGCGACGCAAAAGCCCAACCATCTCGCGCTTGCAACGCCACCAAGATACAGTCACAATTTTTATTTCACACACAAATGCTGCAACTTAAAAAAAAAAAAGTTCTTCGGTTCAGAGTATTATTTTAGATTTGTTTAAACATGAGAATGCGACGCGAGCGGTTGACAGGTCGTGTCCGCTTGCGTCGCCTCGGCAAGAGAGGTCTCGTGTACTGACCTCCGCACATCGTACCTTCGCCGAGAAATGTTCGCGCGTCACAAGCATCAAGTTGCCAGTGATCGTTGCCAAACCGAGTACAATGTCGTCCCGTATTGAAAATCGCAGTCTCAAGAATGCCGCCGACGTCGCATTCACGACGCCGCCAAACAAGCCGCCGACATAATCCCCTGGAAGCCGCCATTTTTCTAAACTCTGCTCGCCTTGGCTTTAGCCAACTGCTCATCACGAATCCAACTTGGAGAAGCGCAAAGACTCTTTGCGTACGCACGCTATTTCCGAGAAATAGCGCACGCTAAAATTGCGTACGCAAAGCTTTAGCGCGCGCTATTCTAAAACTCCGTAATAACGTCCTAACAGAAAATATTAACGAAATAAAACATTCTGTTTTTATGCTCTCCTTTGAAAGCTGAATCTCCCAAGATGAGCTTTGATAAGTTCATAATAACATAGCTGCACTGCTGGTCAGTAATATTTTGATGTTGTTAATCGAAATTTTCGTATTAGTTGAATAAAAAGAATAAGAGGTATTATTTTATTTGGATTGGTTTTAGCCACTCAGCTATATAATGCTGGCACTCAACAGAGCCGCAAAACGACGTTCAAGTTTTAAAAGGGGCGAGACAAACAAAATATTATGTTTTATTATCAATAAAAAATAAGGAAACAGAGTACATTTATGTTTTTAAGAAAATATACATTAAACATGCAATATCTTTTATACAGTCGCTTCTTTAAATTCACGTGACACTTTCGTTTTTTAGAACACAATATTCGGAATACATACGGAATACATATAGATGACTCTAGGTTTTTTAGAGATATCTATATTTGCAGAAAGATTAATAGGTCACACAATAAAAATGTGGCAAACTTAGCTAGACATTGTCAAAACGACAGCTTAACGTTGTACAGCCATAAATATTAATGGCCCTTTCGGGAAAATGTGGCGTTCGTAACCAAAAATCTACGTGATTGCGGGTAGCGTAATTTAGGGTGCTAGTAGCTTCGGTGATAAGAATGATAGAGCTCGGTGCTCAGACGTTCGCGCGCTCTCTCTTTTCCTCCTTTCAGTCAAAGTGATATGGTCGCATGATTTATCCTCTTCCCAAGTCTTCCTTTCGGCGCGGTGGTCAAATATGGGTTAAGAACCATAGGATCTTGAATTCGATTCCCGGTGGGGCGCCCTTGGAACTTTGTTGTTTCCTCTCAATAAATTACTCTTTCTTCTTAAATATGTGCTCTTTTGTGTGGATTGTCCTCTGCAGTAGGTGTTATACGTTTCGTAACGGTTTCTGTGGTGTTGCGTCAAACTTTTCTCAGGGATCTCAGCCCTAAACACATTCTGCATTATAAGTTCATTTCTGCAACCATTACGTGCCAAGAAATATTAAAGTCGTTTGCTAGTTATCTGCTAAAATTTCTATGCTGTGATAGCTTTGTAATTTATCTCCATAAATGTGAAGATGGGCGGAAGAAAACTCCTGTTGCAGTAAAGTATCGGGGGAAATTTCTGCTTCCGCATAATGTTTTTTACGAACGCCACGACACATACGGCAACTTGCAACTAAATTTCCAATTTGATTAAACATTCTTATACACAAAGCCTTAATAGGTTCCACATATTATCCCAATGTTTAAACATACCGGGTTTGCATTTATAGCATCAGACACCTATTTATTGTTTATTGCGATATGGTTGTAAACTATGGGGCTGCAAGTATGGTTTTCATGTTTTCATGCTAGCGTTGGACGATGAACATCGATTTTAAATAGAAATTTGTTTATTCTTGAAGATAGATTTACAATCAATTCGGATACGGTAAATCTTTCGCGCCATTCCTATAACTGAATTCGCTAAAATCTTAAAAGGCAGTTTCATTTTCTAAAATATTTGATTAAACAACGTAAAATATTGATAATAAGCACAAGTCACACACGCACTTGTATAAATAAAATAATCACAGTCAAACCATTCTCCACAATAGTCAACATGCTATCGCGAGCTTTTTAACTTCCTGGCATAAAAAAGATGTTAAAAAGGAAACTACACGTGAAACTATTACATACCTACATATAATTTTTACCAAATCACTAACAACTGGCATAATTCCCGACGATTGGAAAAAAGCAAACATAACTCCACTTTTTAAGTCAGGATCAAGAAATCTTGTTGAAAACTACCGCCCCGTGTCTCTGACATGTGTTGCGTGCAAGCTCTTGGAGCATATATTATATAGCTCAATATATAACTTCTTAAGTTCCAGAAATTTTTTCTCTCCTTCCCAACATGGTTTCCGTCGTGGTTATTCGTGTGTAACTCAGCTAGCTGAATTTACACATTACCTTTCAAACGCCATTGACAACAAAAAACGAGTAGATTGTATATTCTTGGATTTCTGTAAGGCGTTTGATACAGTGCCACATCATTTGTTATTGAATAAGCTTACATTAATAGGAATTAATAAAAATATTATAAATTGGGTTGCTGTTTACTTATCTCAGCGAGAACAAAGTGTTGTATTAAATGGTCAAAAATCTTCACCTGTACTTGTAACCTCGGGGGTGCCTCAGGGAAGTGTACTGGGACCTTTGTTATTTCTTATATTTATTAACGACATTTGCGAGGGGATACAGTCAAACATCAAGCTATTTGCGGATGACTGTGTATTATACAGAGTTATAGAAAATGACGCAGACGTCTGTATGATGCTAAAAGATTTAGGTATTTTAGAACGCTGGTGCGATCATTGGGAAATGGGTTTGAATATAAAAAAGTGCAAATACATGTGTTTTACTCGATCTATTGTTAGCATGGCTACATATAAGATAAAAAAACTATGAACTTGAGCGGGTAGATAAACACAGGTATTTGGGAGTTAATTTTTCGAATAATCTAAAATGGAATGACCACATAGATAGTATTGTAGCAAAGGCAAGTAAGATGTTATTTTTTATTCGGAGGAATTTTAAGAATACATCTCGTAGCGTAAGACAAACATTATATTTTTCTTTTATCAGACCAATTTTGGAGTATGCCTGTGTTATCTGGGACCCGCCTCAGTGTTACCTCTCGAATAAGTTAGAGCGAATTCAAAATCAGGCATTAAGGTTTGTCACAGGCGATTATAGTCCGTACTCGAGCTGTACAGAAATGAAGAATAGACTGGGTTGGGACCTTCTTAGA